GAATAGATGGTTTGAATAACAATAAAACTCATTATCTATGTTAGTCAACGTTTATTCATAAATCTGGTCCTTCACCGTCACGTGTGCATTGTATTTTTGCCCAACTAATCAATAGCAATGTTTTAGGAAAGTTACCTATCCGTGACTGGAACAATAGGGCAAATTGGAAATTGCTATTGGTGGATTTGTCAAAAATACAATACACACGTGACGGTGAAGGACCATATTTATGAATAAACGTTGACTAACATAGATAATGAGTTATATTGTTATTCTAATGAGTTTCCAAACCATCTATTCTATTAACTATGATAATATATATTCTGTTACTGCATGAGAAACTATATGGAACTTCACCAGCATACTCATCAGTTGTTGACAATTCAGAATATTTTAATAATTGTATTTGCGTCATCAGAAAGCGCGTGATTAGTTAATGAACGTCAAAAGATAGGAATTTTTAGCTTCGGACGCGCTAATTTTCCCGAATGTTGAAACTATTTCAAAGGCACGTACTATTTGCACTTACGGGACCCCGTTATTCAAATTGGAGATTGCTTGTGTGGTCAGTCCATGCCTGTGTGTATGTAAATTTTGTCTAGTCGAATTTATGTCTGTTATGTTCGGAGAATCTTGTAAATAAATAAGCTATAGAAAAAGCGTACTTCGCGCAACGCATATTTATACAAACAGGTGTGATGCAGGCATACAGCAACAATTCTATTTCATGTAACACACATCCCAAAAATCCAAAACTATTGAAATAACGTATTGCTAGAATTTAAATGCCTCAGCACTCTGCTGAACTCACAAGTGATATAAGTAAATTTTATGCATAAAGAAACTGTTTAATTAAGAAGCTGCTTTAAATTCCCGAAGGCGTAGAGCAGAAAATCGTGCGCTTTGCAAAGATATTTTAATTTCTTAATAAGTTAATATTCAATATATGCACCCAAATTGTAACAATACGTTATTTCAATAGTTTTGGGTTTTAGTTTTGGGACACCCTGTAATCTTGTATTTAATACACAAGTAAGGAAAACTTATGCATGGTTGAAACAGCGTGATATTATGTGTTGGTTGGTCAGGAAATGAAATCCGACTTATATGTCACGCACAATATTTGCGGCCAAAATACAATAAGTGCGCAACAATATATGAACAACGATACTTCAACTGCTAATGTAAAAAAACGATAGTACAATTTTATGTAATACAGCGCTCCTTACCAAATTTTCAAAATTATATAATTTATATGAGATCTCATCTGTGAATTATTAAAATTTGTCACATATGTTTTTCATATCACTAAACGCCAGCATTACTGTAGAAATTTCTAATAAAAATAGATAATATTTAAAAATTCAATAAACCTAATTGGTTTGAGCAAATATCAATTCATCAAAAGCTATAACACAATGCACCATTCTTTAAAACGGTCGGATTTCATAATTTCAAAGTGTTTGTTCCAGTATATTATCAAATATCCTACCTTTGGATTAAGTCTTTGATCTTATTCAGTTTTTTCCCCGCGTCACATTTAGCTCAACACATATATGTAATATATGCAATTTTTTATTCGACCTGTTTAACTCGCGCGTCTCAGCCGCGGACAAACAATATGCGCGTGATAAGTGTTTATCAGTTCCAGCGATCATGGTGTGTTAAGTAATTACGTAGGTCGGTATCAAACGATACCGTCCTTTCTTTAATACGAACATCCGTTCTGGAGGGCAAGGTTACAGAAACCATAGCTACCTTTCGTGTTTATTTCATGGTAATTACGTAGGTCTATATCAAACGATACCTCCTTTCTTACAAAACATCCGTTCAGAGGGCAAGGTTAATACAGAAACCATTGCATAGCTACCTTTGAATTCGTGTTTATCAGTCGCGGTTCTGTGGAGGAGAGTATTACAGAGACTATGCTGGCATACAGGGACGTGCTGGGGTCTTGGAAAGGACGACGAATGAGCAACGTCTGATGGGAAATATCTTCGTAAATTTAGATTTTTAAGATAGAAATTAATTGCAATATCTTAATCTTGATTTTCAAAATTAAAATCTATATTTTTATCTTTTCCAAAGTTTTAATTTTAGGGGCCCATGATGGCAAAGGGTTCGCAACGAATTCTCGTCGGCTCGTCCCTAGCCAACACGTCCCTGCTGGCATACAACAAACGCTGTAAATTGTTTTCAAAACTATGGAAAGACTGAAAATAGCATGGACCTTCGTTGGAAATGGATGTTTATCTGATTAGCTTTACAATCATACAAAAGTGTTATAAAATATATAACAATGATTGAAGGTATGGTCAACAGGACATGAGTGATGAGTCCCATGTGAAGACAAACCTGATACAAAACAACATTAAAAACAAGGACTAGATTACTAGAACACTATTTACACAACTATATAAAAATGAATAGGTTAGAGTATGATTAAGTTGACAAAAGAGGAGATATCTGTGGCATACGTCGAAACCTGGAACCGGACTCGAAGAAAATCCGGACTCGAGAAAAACCCGGACCTGAAAACAATCCGGATTCATCTTTGAGAAAATCCGGATTTGACTTTTGAAAACCCGGACTCGAAATAGAAAAAAAAACGATTTGAAATATGGAAATATGGTGTCCCAGGACAATCCTTGCAGCAAAATACTGCACTAGTTGCAGCTTCTTTACATTCTGTTAAGATGTATTGCTCCATATAAGAATTGTTTTTCTATCTAGCAAGTGCATGTTTGATCCGATTAATTCTTGATAGTTTAAACATGCAATTTGAAACTAATTCCTTATAGTATATTTTCATTATAGCTAAGATCGAGTCAATACTGACGCATAAGTCTTTGACTACGGGAACAGGATTTACTACTTTTCCTAATATCTTTATGTATATAGTATAGATGTCTTGTTTTCATAGAGTTTAAAAACTCACTCGTGCATGTAGTTTTTCCAAATTGCACTCGAAACCATACAATTACCAACACTAATTAATTATTGTAACACTATAGTCTATACCCTAAACTGTAGGTAGACTAAAAAAATAGAATAGAATAGAAACTTTATTAGATATTTATCATATATACATAGACATATATAGCTGCCTAAAAAGGGCTGTTCCCCGCTACAGTTAATTAATAATGTTATACAATGAGTTCTTTCTGAGTTCATTTCGAAGTCTTTTCTTAAAAAATCTAGTGTTCTCAATTTCTCATAGTATCACTATCACGAGACAAATCATTATATAGTTTTGCCCCCCTACTAGGAAAACATTCTTTGCCCAGGTGCAAGCCTACATTTGGGCAAATTCAAATCATTGCAATATGTCTAGTTGATCTGTTATGTATATGGCGGAACGAAGCATAAACTTATCGGAGAAATAGGCTGGTACTTTGCCATGAAGGCAAATATTTATGAACCATAACGGCATCAACATTGAGCCATTTCAAAGATCGGTATGCCTTCAGAAATCTGGTCATATATGATTTCCTGAGTCCCAGGACAATCCTTGCAGCAAAATACTGCACTAGTTGCAGCTTCTTTACATGATTCTGTTAAGATGTATTGCTCCATATAGTTGAGCAATAAAATAATTTACTCAAAACAAATACTTCCATCAGTATAGAAGAATTGTTTTTCTATCTATATAGCAAGTGTTTGATCCGATTAATTCTTGATAGTTTAAACATGCAATTTGAAACTAATTCCTTAGTATTTTCATTATAGCTAAGATCGAGTCAATACTGACGCATAAGTCTTTGACTACGCGGGAACAGGATTTACTACCTTTCCTAAGGGGGCATTCATTTTTTAGCTGGGGGGCGGGCCGGAGGAACTGATGTCTAATTCCATGTGAAAACTTGGAACCCCCAAGACAAAAGTTGATAAAAAATTATGACCCCCTATATTTTTTACTGAAAATTTTTTGACCCCTCATCCTAACTATTAATCCACACGGTGTCGTTTCCATAGCGTTTCAGGGCTGTAGGAAACTCTTTTTGATTGGGGGGCTGAAAGCGAGGGCCGAAGGCCAGAGAAAATTTTTAAATCTAGAGTCTCTGAAATGCCATTTCCTGGCCTTTGGGGAAGATTTCACAGAATTCTGATGGTCAGAAAACAGCGTTTTAGTATGTCGAAATTGACAATTTGGTAGTACTAAATGGGCGAAGGCATATTTAATTTACTATATATTGGATAACTAGGATAAGTTGCAGGAAACTGTGGGTACTATCTTCATTCTTTGCAGTTTGTCATGGATAAT